CATCCCCTCCTCATCTTCCCCTACCCCTTCTCCTCCCCTTCCAACCCAATCCTTTCTCCTTTCTCTCCCCACAGACATCGATTGGGCGGTGTTGAGGAAGGGACAACCCGTGTTTTCTCTAGCAGACCATAATTTTGTTGTGTGGGAAAACAAAAGCAGTAACAGTAACAGAGGCCAAGATTAGCTGTCTCTACGCGTTCTTTTCCTGAAACATACAAGGAAACACAATTAAATTATTTAAAGTTTGAAATCCCTGTGTCCCACCTTGAAGAAGCAGAAGAAGAAGAAGAAGAAGAAGAAGAAGAAGAAGAAGAATAATAATAATAATAATAATAATAATAATAATAAATAATAATAATAATAGTAATAAAAATTTGTCTTTCAATTTCTGATAATGACCAATGCATCTGTTTAGGATAATATGGCTGAAAAGAAGTAGAAGAAAAAAGGTTTAGTTTATGATGACTCATGGCTTCTGCTATAACTAATGAGAACTATTTTGGGAGAAAAGTGTTTGTCATATTTGGAGAATGTAAACCCCCCTTTGTACTCGTAGTTGTGCACCGCTTGCTGGCTTCTCTCTTGGTTTCATTCAGAATTTCTCATGGTGGGTGTATTGTACTCTGAAACGTCTGGCATGTCTCTTGGCATTACAGAATCATCTACAAACACGTGATGGATTGTAAATGTATTGTCATGCGTTTGTGTTATTAAGGGCAAGAAATCATTTCCTTTAGAAATGCATTGAGTGTTCGGAAAATAGCAATAACTCATTTACAGGATACTGGGAGTTGTGCCTCGCATCGAATTTCTACATAACGATCTTTCATGCCCATGATTAAGCGCTTCCTGTTATTACTGGGGGCGTGCATTCCAGATGGCCGATTGGCTGTTATGGTTTTCTGTCGACTTCTCCTTTATCATAGAACATTTTTATCAGATAATCAACAGTGTATTACAGCCATTATATTGGACAGGATGCTATGTTCAACAACAACAACAATTTGTAGAGGATATTGGTTGTAGTGAGTATTTCATTCATTCTAAATTTGTACTAATTCTGTGCATTACCTGTGTGCTAATCTCTCGTATCACACTATTGAAATTCGTCATCTGTAACAAAAGAATTACCCGTCAATGACGTATCATCTTTTTCAACTTTTTGTCTTCTGTCAACAGGTTGCAGTGATCAACTTGGGAAGTTACATTGTATTGATAAACAGGGTCCTAATCTCTACACTGACTTCAAGAACTTGCACAGCGTTACAGCATCATCGTCAGTAGAAGGAACATAGTTTCAGTTAAAGGCCTTGAGAGATCTACCTGTCCTATAGCTTTGATGCGGCTGGGTTCAACCCAGCTCCACCATCGGACTTCAAATTAATGGCATTTGGGACGTCATACATACGCCTCCTATGTACTCCTCATTAATCTTTGTTGCAACAACCATCGTTCTGAGTTCTAGCAAGTCGTTCCTCTCGAAGGTGTGCACTTTCATCTCATATCCCTGCGTATCTTGAAGGTAACACGTCCCTACATACCTTGAATGTAGAACAAACCAACAGGAGAGGAGTAAGAGGATTCTCTCACGCTGCCAGGAGGGAGGAAGGACAGTCTGCACTGATAATATACCAACCGTGAACATTCTGGAACGATCTTGTCTGCTCAGATTCTGCGTAAGTAGGTTACAGTAACTGTAACTAAACAGAAACGGCTTTTTTACACCTCAAAAGGTCACAACAAGGCTTTCTTGCTTGGACCTCTCAGAATGGCGACTGCCCTCTCCTCTGTCCTTCACTTGACGTTTATCCTCTTGGTGGTTGTTCAACTCGGCTGTTGTGTCTTGGACGATGCGAGATTACGCGAGAGGAGATTGGCGGACAGCTCAAAGCCGAGCTCGAAGGAGAAGAGCAACGGTACTTTATCGGACCAAGGGAAGCCGTCAGCAAGGTTGGTAAAGTTATTTCACACCTATATCCTTTATTTTTTCATTTTTTATCCTTTTTTTAAAGTTCTAATTTCGCACAGAGTAATTTAGTTTTCATTTGTTTTCAATTTGTCTTTGCATCGTTAGTATTTTTGTATATGTGAGGCAACGTGGTGGAATCAGGCTCTTGTCAAAATAATCAAAACGAAGAAACTAGCATTTTTCTGCAGGTTTGTGAATTTTTATCAATTTTTTTTTTTTCGGTTCAACACTTTTCATGCCCATTAAAGAACTCATTTTTGTGTGGCTTTTTCTGAAAAACGTTGATTAAAGGTACAAAAAATGAAAATTTTCAGCTACCACGGACTCTTAAGCTAAGGAAATAACGAATCTTTGGCAGCCATTTTCTCACTAATTTTGCTTCTGAAACAGGTGACCCCCACCTCCTTCATTTGCAAATATCTCGACTCGTGTTCAAGATAAATAGATATTTTTTTCCATCCAAATAAAGACAAGGGAACAAGCTTTACGATTACACCAATAACTCTACATGCCCAAAAATTGACGAGAGCCTGATTCCACTATGCTGCCTCACATTTACCGTTGTTGTAATGGGCTGGGTGGTTGGAGGGTGCCACATTTTGGTTCTATTCTTTTCTACCCCCCTCTTGGTATTATCTCTGTCAAACTTTTTCACTGCATTGAATGACTCCTGTTGGGTCGCTGTTCGTCTCTTCACTCACTCGAACTTTAGGTCATCGTCATTGTCTGATGTTTCTTCTCTTCTGTTAATAAAAGATGATATTTCAGCAACGGGTGAGCAGCAGAGCAAGTGTTGCAAGTTTCGATTACCGTTACTAAACATGTTTAAAAATCAAATACAAAAAAATAAGAAAAAAAGATGCATTGTTAATCATCGAAAAGTCCTGAACAATCAGAAGGTTTCGTAAACTCTTCGACTCATTCTTGAGACCAGAAACACAATCATTACGTAAACTCATCCGCCAGTATAATATATATAGACTGATCAGAATGAAAATAAACGAATAAAAACCTACGAACAATTCAATATTATAATGATTAGCCTGAATATTGCAAGCGAGAATAGACATGGAAAATTAACCTAAGTCTGAACTGTACTTTTCTTACTTTGTATTTCATTCAACGTCATGCAGACTGTCTAGCACAGCCATCTGTTGTACTCTATAATATTATGCTGGCGCCAGAAGATGTTGATCTAGATATTCCGTCCCATAATTCATCGTATTATGCCAGGCGTTTTCGTTTTGTTTTGTTGTTGTTGTTTTTTGCTGACATCGTGCAACACAACACATCTTATTAATCGCATTTAAGTCAAATGGCGTGTAATCAATAATTAATAGTTGACAGGTGTGGTTACAGTAATGCCGTGATCTGGAACGTTTGCCCTATATTTGCCAGGAGTGTCAAACTTATACAGTTTTGCACATTTTTTGCTCGTATATTAAGTATGAATGGACAAGATAGCATCTGCTCTATAATAACATTTACAGGGAAAGCAACATGAAACTTTTTCTCAATTCCATAAGATTGATTTCTAATTAAAGGAAATCGCTTCCTTAAGAATAGAAAGATCATTTATGCAGTGGAACCTTCGCGTTTAACTTTAATCCCCGAAATGGTTAGGGCATCTCCTCAAACAGTACAATTTCAAATATGCACAGACATAGTTTTATAACTTCCGTCGTTTGCACCGAAGCACTATAAATATGGTGAGAACTGAACTTATTGTTCTCTCTTTAAGGTTAGTAAAAACTGAAATAAAATTATACTATTTCCCTTTTTTCCCAGTGCAAAAAAACAAAACAACAACAACAAACCAGAGCACGAAACACCACCCTTCACACTCCCACCCACCCCCTTTCCCCGCCCGGTTTACAATACATAAGTAAGTTAAAATTGAAATTGACAATCGCAAAGTGTCAGCCCCTCGGGCCCATTAATATTCTCAATTTTGAGCCCAACACAAACTGTTTATACTTACAACTAATTCTTTTCTGCTGTAACTGTGATAATATTCATAGTCAAACAGTCTCCCTTTTTTGTATGTTCTTCTTGTAAGTACGCAAATCGGTTCCACTAATTGTATTACCTTATTATCTTTCCGGAACAGAACCACCTCACACGCCAATACTGTACTTCTAACGAGAAACAAACTGATATCATTTCTCACACTGTGCCTGGTGGAACTACTTTTTCTGTTTCTATTAATTCACGTCAATTTGCTACAAGAAATTCTGCAAACTTTTTAGAAAGTCCAGATCCAGCTTAGCATGCCCCACTCAGATGCTGCTTTTGCCTTCAGTTACTGGTGACGAGCACTCTCGTTATTCAAAATCACTTGATAACTCGCTGTTCTGGGGCAATGTTTTAAAAAAATAATTCATGGCCTTGATATTCATGGCGAATTTTATAATGTTGTTTTTTTTTGCCTGAAACTTGAAAAAGTAGGTAACAATATGCATACTATCAAACGTCATTTTTGGTATGGCATAACCACGAACAAGGAACCGAACATTATTATAAAATATCAATAGTTTATATTATTTTAACAAAATCATCCCAAAAGACGATTATATAGAAAAAAGATACCTTTTAATAATCCTAATAAATTGTTTTTACAGCAAATGAGGTTGATATTTACAATCTTTTAAAGCTGTGCAAAAATTATTGAATTTTAAATATTTATTCAACTACCTTTATAAGATGATCTTGTTCTTTACTCTTTACGGACGTAGTAATAAACATAGACCATAGGCAATGTTACGTACGTTGAAAACATGATACACAAAAGTAAAAAAAGAAATTTACATTTTTGATACAAGACTCTTTATCATGAAGGACAATAACTAAGAACGAATGCTGTCTATTATTTCCTTTTGTGACAGTGTTACGTGTACTTCAGGCTGTCTTTAGAAGGACATCCTCATAATAATTTAAAGTCATCACATTATATGACAATGTAGGGGAGTTTTGCACTTCTATCTCAGCAACATTCCCTCTTCAGAGGCAAAGCTAATTTGAGGGCCAAACTTCCGAATTTTCTTTTTAGAAACTCACGTACCATGTTTCTATGTGCATGGAAATTAAACCAGAAAACTCCCAAAGACTCCACTCCGACTAAAACAGTTAAAGCCCAAATTGCCTCCAGCTGTTCAGGTAGAGCTATTAAGCCCAATTTGTTTATCTGTTGCAGTTTCTATATATACAGTAACGGTTACATGCGCTCAGGAACCATTTTGTCGAAATGCAAACTTAAATTCTAATGTTGATCAAAGATAATAATACATAATATAAGGTAGGCATAATGTTTAAATAATGAAACACTGTTTTCTGTCTGCTGGAAAGTGTTGTTTTATGAGCCTAGAAGTGTTGCATAGCTTGAGTACATAATAATTATGGGGGGCTTGGGGGACATGGTTCACACCGTATGAAGAAAAGAAGGAGTGAGAGAGAGAGAGAGTGAGAGAGAGAGAGAGAGAGAGAGTGAGTGAGAGAGAGAGAGAGAGAGAGAGAGAGAGAGAGAGAGAGAGAGAGAGAGAGAGGGAAGGGGGAGAGCGGTAGAGAGAGAGAAGAGGAGATCGCGAGGCACAGGCAGACAAACATAATTAATATAGATTGACAGACTATCTGACAGGGAAAGATAAGAAAGCGAACACGCAACAAGTACTCCTTGAGGGTAAGAAGTGTGAGAGGGAAAGGGAGTGGTGTTTTTCCAACAACAAAAATGGGAGAGAGAGAGAGAGAGAGAGAGAGAGAGAGAGACTGGGTTACCGAGTCAAACGGTTTCTTTATAGTTGACAGTTCGAAGAAACGCGGTGGTGGTATTATGATGCGTCTCAAAGAAGTTTTAGTTGGCTGTGTTCTCTGTGGGAGCAGACGAGGACTGAAGTAAAAAGAAGCAGTTCGACATAATCATAGTCATTTAGTGTAGAGGAAAAAGTAAGACAGACAGGAACAACTAAAGCAAAGAAATGAAATAGGACCTATCAGAGTCCCACTCCAACTACCCACTTGATGGGGTTCTTTTATTGCAAAGGATTTGAGAACTTAATTAAAATAGGAAGGCATAGTATTAAAAGAATGAAACAGTTGATCTACACTATAGCAGGCATTGTTAAGCTCGCTAGCCTACGATATCCACCGTTGGAAGTGCTCTATTGTTGTTTTTTTAAAAGTTTATTATGTATTATTTGTGAAGCAGCGTGGTGGAATCAGGCTCTCGTCAAAATGATGAAATCGAAGAAAACAATAGTTTTCTCCTTGCTTCGCAATTTTTATCAAATTTTTGTTTTTTGGTTCAACACCTTTTATGTCCATTTACAAACACATTCCTTTGAGGATTTCACCGAAAACGTTGATTAAAGGTACAAAAATATAAATTTACAGTTTCTATGGACTTTCCAGCTTTGGAATTTACCAAGCTTTGGTGGCCATTTTCTCGCTAATTTTACCTCTTAAACCAAGGGACCCCCACCTCCTTCAATCCAAAATATCTCCAATTCTATTGAAGATGGATGGGTAATGTTTTTATTGAAAGCCAGACAAATGAACACGCTTTAAGATGATACCAATAACTCAATATGCCCAAAATTGATGAGAGCCTGATTCCACCACGCTGCCTCACATTTCTTTATGCTGGCTCGCTGTAGACACTATATAGAACAAGCTGTTACACTTTTGGTCGTAATAGGAATAGTTTACGTGTTTGCCTTTCCATGTTATGGAATTATGTATTCTATTAGGGTTTATTGGTATCGTATTTGCATTATGCCTACATGTTTTGGAATGTGTCATTGTGACTGCAATGTCCGTGCCAGTATGCTATTTAGCATTCACTGTGTGTGGTATTTATGCTGCTGTTCAACTGTGTTTTGTCTGTGGTTTGATGTGAAGTATGAAATGTCGTGTTTGCCTTGGATTACTTACTTTTAGTTCTTTATGTTGACGGAAGTTTTAAGAACAATGCAGGGACTATGGAACA